CGAGTAGGAACCGAGTAGGAACCACCCATCGTGTTGGAACCGAGTAGGAACCGAGTAGGAACCGAGTAGGAACCGAGTAGGAACCGAGTAGGAACCGAGTAGGGATCGATCGCGCATGAATCAACTTGAAGATATATCGATATCAAGATGCAAGCGCTGATCCGAATGCATATTCTATCTCAGTCGCTGCGATGGTGAAGCGCAAGCACAATCACGTGCTGGATGCACTTTGAAGAGAGCCGCGCCGCGCATCGCGTCAGCGTGGGTCAGAGGAGAAGGCGCTGAGCGCGCCGCGCTGTAGATGCTTGAGGTGGGCGCTAATGCGCCGATGGCCTTGCAGGGCGAGCGCGATCGTTCTGCCGCGGAGGGCGCGGCGGGCGAAGCGAACGCGGGGGACATGCGACCAACGCGGGCGCCTGCAAACGTCGCATCCACTTCTGGCTGCGGAGCACGTGCGCTGCGCCACCATCGCGCGATGGCGTTCCTATCAGCGCGCCCTTGCGTCGGCAACCATGCATCTGCCGCTAAAGCGGCTGCTGCTCTCGTCCTGAACTCCCCGCGCCGCGGGCCGCCCTGCACTGGTCAACGCCTGCGCGCAGAAGCGCGTCCGCGAAGCCGCCCGCCACGCAGCCCGCGCCATCCGCAGCCCCACAACGCCGAAGGCCTTGTCACGAGCGCGCGCAATGCCTCGTCACCCGCCGCGCCATTGACAATGCCGCCATGGGGCGCGCGGCGCCGCTCAGCTGCCGTCGACTGAGCGCGACTCAGCGATGCGCGCTCGGCATTCGATTTCAAGCGTGCCGCGCGCCGCGTGACCCCGCCCCCGTCGCGCGCTATCGCCATCAGAGAATGAAGCCCGCGGCGCTCACCATCCCCCTTGCTCGCGATGCACACGCGGCCACGATGCTCGCGCGGAGTGGCGCGCGCGTGGGGCGCGGGGGGAGGGAGGGGGGGATGGGGGGCAGAGATCTCGCGAGTTCGTCCGCGGGGCGGCGCCTTGCTAACGCATTGCCAGCGCGCCCTCGTCGCGCGGCAAATGGCCTTGCGCGGGGCAGCGCCGCCCGCCGTGAAGGCGCAACGTGCGGCGCGCTCGTTGAGTCGCCAGCGGCGCGTGCCCGCGCGCCAGGTGGCGCCCGCGATTGCAAACGAGAGCGCGGGCGCGAGTGAGCGATTTGCCGATGTGGCGATGGGCCGACAAGACGATCGGCCGACTGGCCGAGATGGCAGTGAACGGCGAGCCGATAAGGCGACGCATCGGGCGCCCGACCTGATGGCAAACCGATCTGCAAATCGGAGTACCAGGCGGGATGCTTATGGAGTGGGAGAGACGCGCTGACTGCGTGGGCCACCGATTGGCAGATACAAGCAGAAAGCCTGACATGGCGGTTGGACGGCCTGCTGGCAGGGCGATCTACTGATGCGGCAGTTGCGCGATGGGCAGCGCAATCGATGGGCCGATCGGTTGAAAAGGCGACGCGCCGACGAACCATTGGGCCGACGACGGGGTCGGCCGACGTGGCGACGGGCTGAATGGGCGATTGGCAGATGCGGTGTCTGCCGATGGGCAGATCTGCCAACGTGCCACCCGTCCGCGCGGGGATTGCGCGGCATGCCGACGCCGCGATAGGACGACGACAAGTCTACCGATGGGGGCGACGCGCGCCAACATGTCGGCGGGGCCGATCGAACATTCAGCTCGTGGGCAGATGCGCAGGCGGGACTGCGAGCTGACAAACCGATCGGCCGATCGGTCGGCAATCAGCCAGGAAGGTCGGCCAGGGTAGCACTGCGCCGCCGAGGCGATGGGCGAGGGTGACGTTGTGCACAAGCGCTAACAAACCGATCGGCAGACTTGCGGATTGACCGAACGGCCGCTAAGTCGACGAGTTCGCCTGACGACGCGCTGACATTGCGATGGCGCGCGCGGCCAGATTTACCGCGCAGACAGATGGATGGAAAAAGGCCATCGCCCGACGCGGCGATCTGCAGATAAAGTCATGCAGCGCCATGGCGGTGATCGGCAAGTGCGCCTAGACCAGGGGCGGGTCTACGGGTGGACCCAATATACAAATATGCGACGGGGCCGCGCGGCGATTGTGCGATTGGCTGGGCGCGCGCGCGCGCGCCTGGCCGATTGGACGAATGACCGCGCGGCCATGAGGCGATAAGGCAATGCGACGATACGTCGAAGGCGTCACGGGCCCATTGGGCAACGCGCTGATGCGAGGACGGGATTCTCGGCAGGTCGGGAGATCGGGCGGCATGCCGATGCTGGTCAGATCACCACAGCGCTACGGCGATGGGTGGATAGACCGACAAGGCGCATTTCCCATGGGTTGGCCATTGTCTGCGCACCGATATGGCGGCGTAGCGATGAACTGATCGGCGAATAGGGCGAGACGGCGGCAGACCGAGAGGGAGATATGGCGACAAGGCGGCCGACCGTTATGGCCATCTGACGACTTGCCAATAATTGGCAGGGCAATTGGCCGATAAAGAGACCGGGAGAAGTGGCAACATTGAGGAATAACAATGGCCCAGGTATGCCGACCTGTGATATACCATGCCGAAAGGGGCGGCATGTCGATAGGGCGATGGGCCGACGCGACGCCAGCCCGATAAGGCGATAAGTCGAACAGCCGATGTGCAGAAAAGGCGGCATCCCCACATGATTTAGCGCGGGCGTGCTGACGTGCCAACAACGCAGCATGCATATAGGACCGTGTAAGGCGATGGGCCGATCGGGCACTCGGACGGTATACCGATCGGCCGATCGGGCGATAGATGGCCGATCGCCACACTCACATGCACAGCGGTCGATTGGCGAAGAATGCAGCACGCCAGTGGGGCGGCAGACCACTACGTTCATACGCAGGTCGGGCACAACTACCGACAGGCGAACATGCCGATATGCATATCGGTCGACATGGTGATATGGCAATAGGGCGATATGTTGACAAGGCGGCAATACGACAGTCCTATGTGGGGCGCTACGCGGCTGGGGCGATATGACGAGAACTCAACTGCGCGAACGGGCGATATGATGATGGGCCGACGTGGGCGATGGGCCGATCGGCAAGCCCGAAGCGTCGACTGGCAGATCGGGCCAAACGGTTGAAAGGCCGACCTCCCTCGATAGAACCACAGGGCGATAAGTGCACTGGGCACTGGGGCGGTATGCCCACGTCATGGGACGACGATTGGCCATCATTAAGTAGTCGGCCGATGAGCCGATAAGCCGATCGGCCGACATCGCGACATCTGAGGCGACGGACCGACTGGGCGATCGGCTCCAACGTCAAGCGATGGGCCGATTGGGAACATATCGGGCACAACTGCAGGACATCCAGCAATGCGTACGATCGTACGATAGGCCGATAGGACGGTTGAGGCAGCTTGCCGATAGGATAGGAGGCCGATGCCGACGGGAATAAATCCCGATAGTCCCATAGGCGGTCAGGCCGATCGGCTGATACGCCCATTGGCCGACACGGCGGTAAGGCGATATGCCGAAATAACCATCGGCCAATTTGCCAGTATGGCCATCGGACTTCCAGACGGAAAAGTCGACAGGCCGACAAACTTGTACGATATGCTGATCATGGCGATAAGACGTGCGCGGCACAGAGAAACGCAAGTTTCCGTAGTCGTGAAAACCCGCGTCGTGAAATAAGGTTGAGCGCGCGCAATGTCAGCATAACAACATAACATCACACAGGGCACACACAACGCATTTTACATGCAGATCACTGCGCAGCGCCAGCGTCGTTTTACAATGAAACAATACTGGCGCGTTCGCACGAACACACATAACGTAGCAACGGCAGCTCGCGCGAGGCAATGCATGGCAGCACGATCGCACCAAAACATACGCACGCAACGCGATCACTCATACTCACAATAACACCTGCGTCTGGAATGAGATGCACATATGTTCCGATATTGGCTGTGTTTCACACATTTCAGATACCCGTTGTTCGATTAACTGAAGGTTTCGGCAAAGTCGGAACACAGATTCCAAGCGAGTGCTGCTTTTGACACGTCCGCGTTGCATTGTGGAATGGTAAGACACGTGCTTTTCTACTCTTCTCCGCTCTCGTGAAGCGAAAGGAAATCATAGCATTGTTCGGGGGTGACAGGAGCACGCGCGAGGGCATTCACCCAGCTGGCCGACTTCGCGGTCATGGTCTCCTGTGTTCGTTCTGCTCCGCGTGTCGGCTGTATTTTGACGTTGCGTTTGGTCAGGGCTGACAATGTTCGTCAGCACGTTGTCTCCGAGCGAACCAGTCACCATGTCCACGGCCTTTTCTTTCTGATCCGATAGAAACCCCAACGGGAATGATATCTTGTGCGTTGGGGGGGGGGGGGCAAGACAGGGCGGGGCTCAGGACGTAAGGCGCGTGATGAGTTTTGTTTCTGGAAGGGAAACACTACCAAAATGAGGGGCTACGCGCCAAGAAACGGAGGGGGGGGAAAGCAAACTAACGTGTCAGTGTCCCGGACAGACCGCGGGCCGAGGGGTCCACTTTCAACTGGCTCCCCTGGGATCTTTGCGTTCCTGCTCCTCCTTCTCACCCACCCTCCCCCTCCCTCGCCTCCCCACCGACTTCAGTCCTCATCCTCCAGCCCTCCTTCTCCTGCCTCCTCTCCCCTTCCAGCTTCCCTCCTCCATCCTCCTCCCCTTTTCCTCTGGAGGTCCTAGTAGAGAAGCCTCTGCCATGAATGGCAAATTCGGCTCCGAAAGGTTGTTGTGCTGCCTGCTAAGAGTCCTTGGCCGTGCGATCGTTCGTTGGCATTGTCAGTTGAACTCGGCAGTTGACAGTGGCCTCGCTTGACATTCAGATTTCATCAGACCTCCAGTTCGAGGCACACCACGTTGATTCAGTTTCGCAATTCAGTCTTTCATAGCCATTTTGGCTCAAGGGATTGGCTTCACTTGTCTTGCAGCACAGCAGAGGCTGCGTTTGCCCACTCGTTGCGCTTGCCGAGGTCTTCTGGAGATGTCTTCAGGCAGCGCTGCTCGTGGCTTGTCGCCAAGTACCTTCAGTCTCGACGAGTACGGTCTGGCAGAGAGCGACACTGCAGCTGGCCCCAACAAGATGACGTGCTTCTTGTGTGAGGAGGAGGAGTTCTGCACCAAGGAATGGCGCAGCATCATGCTCTCTTCGAGGTGCTGGAATGCGGTTCGAGCCCACCGTTTGCAGCTGAAGGGCAACGCGAAGGCCCTCAAGGACTCTGCAGACCTGGTGCGATCGGATCCCGATGCGTGGCGAGCTCAGGTGAAGCCCTACATCGCAAAGGATACGACGAGCCGTAAGATCGCTCGGACTGAGACGCAGAAACAGCTCGTTGTGCAGCAGACGACTGACAGGAGTATCGAGTCGAAGCGTGAGGGGAAAAAGACTGAGTTCTACAGTAAGAGGCACTTCAAGTCGCACAGGGCCTTCTGGGACAAGGTCGAGTCAGATGACGCCAGCGAGGAGTTCGACGCAATGCAGGACGCAGACCCCCACTTCGACAGCGACGGTGAGGCAGTCCAGCCCCTCAAGGCCCGCAAGTACACGAGAGATGAGGTGGGCCGCGACAAGACTGTTGGCAAGGTGACGCAGAGCATCCTGGAGGGCGAGGGTGGCAACGCTGAGCCTAGCAGGAGCCCACCAATCGTCAATATTCGTGAGCTGATGGGTCTCGGTGACCTCCCGTCTGGCCACCTGGAGAATGTTCCTCGAGGCGGGTCGCCCTTGCGAGGCTTGGCCGCCAAGCGCGACAGGATGGACGACGATGGAGCGTCGGTGAAGACCAAGGCCCCGAGGAAGGACATCAAGTCGAAGATCGAGGATGGCAACGAGGAGGCGCTCTTTCTGGTTGCTAAGGAGGAGATCGCAGAGAGCTGCGACAAACTGCTCAAGAAGCACAGTGGCGCGAAGTCGATGTCGCACAAGCTGCAGGCCCTCGTGAGAAAGCACTCGCAGAATGCTGATGCTCCAGATTGTTCTCAGATCATCAAGGACTATGCGACGCACGTGAAGGAGGTTGAGGACATCAAGGGGCCAAACCTGAAGGATCTGAAGGCTGATGGCGTGGATGCTCTCAGGTCGAGGGTGACCGCAGTGGCGACGAAGCTCGATGAGCTCGAGGAGCTGGCCAAGAAGAAGACGACGACGTTCTGCGTCATGGACTCGACCGCCAGGAAGGCGCAGCGCACTGAGTACTTGGCAGTGCGCCACCAGAAGACCAAGGTCTACTGGACAAGCGAACTCACCCTCATCACTAAGCCGTCCTGTCCTCCAGCCACTGGAGGACAGGGGAGAGGAGAAGAGGGAGGAGGAGGAAAGAGGGAGGGAGGGAGGAGGAGGAGGAGGAGGAGGGAAAGGGAGAAGGAGGAGGAGGAGGACTGGGAGGAGGAGGAGGAGGAGGACTGGGAGGAGGAGGACGACGAGTGAGGTGATGAGGGAGGGTTCGCTTGTCCAAGGTTGCGAATGCCTTGACTGCAGGCGGCTACCACGCGAAGCATGCCAAGGTCGTTGGCAGCATCGTGTTCGAGAGCTCTGGCACTCCGCTGACGGCTGAATTGACTGGAGTGCAGTACAAGATCGTCAACGTGAACCCTGCAGAGCTGATTCCTTCAGAGATCTGCGCCTGGGCCATGGGCGAGTCGAAGATGTGGAAGGTGCGCTCGGAGATCATGGACAAGTGTGGGCAGGCTTCCATCGAGAAGAGGACGGCGCTTGACTCGCAGATGGACACAACGAAGTGGGCTGGGGCTCTCACGCGCGTGACCTCCGACTTGACGGGCGTGGACTTCCAGCTTCCGGAGTCGGCTGGCGAGCTCTTCATGAAGGACAACCACCCGAGCATCGTGACGCTGCGCCGCGACGCCTGTCGCAGGGGACCTGCGGCATTCAACATGTCGGGTGCTGGCTGCTACGTGACGACGTTCAGCGAGCCGATCATCTTCATGGTGTACAAGATCGAGGATCTGCTTGCGCAGGGCATCGTGATCTCCAACCTGCCAGGGTTGGCCTGTGACCCAAACTACCCATAACCCAACACGGGGAGACAGAGGAAGGACGGGGGAGGAGGAGCAGGAGGAGAAACAGGGGGAGGAGGAGGAGGGAGAAGGGCGAGAGAGGACTGAGGACATGATGAGGAGAGGGACGGAGGAGGAGGAGGAGGAGGAGGAGGAGCAGGAGGAGGAGGAAGAGCAGGAGGAGGAGGAGACTGGAAAAGGAGGAGAGAGGAGGAGTGAGAGGGAAGGAAGGAGGAGTAGGAGGGAGGAGGAATAAGAAAGACATCGGGTCCACACCAGGTTTCTGCAGAGTGATGCGGGCGCCGAGTTCATGAACTCGAAGGCTTGCGCGATCTTCACTTTGCCGAAGATGGCGATTGCGTGGATCCCTCGGGGCTTCTTGTACACTGCCGTGTACTACAATGGGGCGCCCGCGAACGACAAGGAGGCTCCGAAGTGGGCCCACTTCCTTTCGGTGACGGTCCTGGCGACAGGTCTCGCGCAGATGATCCCAAAGCCAGTGTTCGCAGCCCTGAACAAGGATCTCGATGATCATTACAAGCAGGAGAGCGCGCAGGTGTGGAAGCATCGGGCTGCTGTGTGGGCTGCGTTTTCGAAGAAAATCCTCGATGTTTGATCGAGGTGCTGCTGGTTGCTTCGAGTATCTAGTCTTGAGTTCTAGGTGCGTGCTTGTTGCTTCGAGCATCGGCTTTACGATCGGCGTTTTGTATGAAGCCTGCTCCCGCCTGAAGTGCCGAGGGTTGACAGTGCCACTCGCTCAGAGTGGCTACACTGCAGGGTGGCCGATGGCGATTCTTCCTGCAGGCTCGTGGTTTGAAGTTGCCGATCTTCTCTTGCCCTGAAGCCTCCAAGCCACAGAAGTAAGATGGCGAGTACGAAAAGGAAGAGTAGGAGGAGGAGACCGAGGAGGGGGGGAGGAGTAGGAGGAGGAGGAAGGGGAGGAGGAGGAGGAGGAGGAGGAGAAGGAGGAGGAGGAGGAGGAGGAGGAGAAGGAGGAGGAGCAACACCTACTTACCATCACGTGGCTGTCCTTGTGAGCTGTTAGGGCCCACGGCTTCAGTGGTTGCGCTCGTTGGTACAAGTGCCGAGGCAGTAACCCCAGCACGCCAGAAGCATGCTTTAGCTTGCAGCCAAAATGAAAGCATGCAAACCTAGTCATCCTCCCCCTCCCCACTCATCATCCCCTCCTGCTCCTGCTCAGTCTTGTCATCCCGTCGGCTCTGCCCGTCTTAATTCCAGCCTCCTGCTCATGAGGTGTCTCCGTGCTACCCCAATGGTTGCGCTGATGGGTCATCCACAAGTTTCGCCTGACGTCCGCACCTCCCGTTTCCGACCCTGAGTTGTGTGCTAAGTTGCCCTCATCCATCCGCTCGTTCCGACTCGAAGGCTGAGGGTCACGAGGGTGGCGATTATGACTATGCACACCTTCGCTGCTGCTGTTCACCCTCCCCCTCGTCCTCTTACTGCCCTCGTGGAGGGCATACCGCTACCTACTACGTAAGAAGAACACGAAATCATCCCACATGTACCTCAACGCACTCAATGCTTAGTCAGGGTTTGCCAAAGGCGCGCAACAAATGCAACGTGACAACGCTTCAAGCAGCCAATTTAAGCTCCCCCCAAACTCTGGCGATACATTTAAGAAGCGCGACCTTCACCACGTACCCAACACTTCGCCTCACGCAGTGCTTTGGTCATCTGGCACACTTCCAAGCATATGCTTGCAACTTCTGTGCTATTGCAATGCTTCGCTGGTGCTGTGCTACGCTGGCGGAGAAGAAAACAACGATGAATTTGTTGACAACTTCCGCTTCTGAAAAAATCAATGTTTACGGATTCTTCTTTAAAAAAAACGATGTTTATGATATTCGCCCTAGCGACGGGCTCAGAGGACAGAGTAAAGAGTAAGAGTTCCCGAAAGCCGCTGTCTCGACAGCCCCCCGCCTGCCGCCTGGCCCGCGCGACGCGCGCGCACCTCCAGCATGGAGACCTTGCCGTCGCAATCCACGGCCCGTGGGAACTCCCGCATCCCGATCGCCCGGCCCACGATCCAGGGCCCTCCAGGGCCCAGCTGTTCCAGCCAGCCTGCCTTGAGACCGCTGCTCGGGAGAAAGTCAAGGGTCTTCGGAAAAGACCGCAGCGCGGTGCCGATCTCGGCCCGGCACGCGCGGTCGAGACCGTCCGCGGCCAACCGAAAAGCACTCTCTCTTTTAGAATCCTCAGGGTTATGAATTTTCCGCATTGAGCCATTGCGGTCGCCACCTGGCGGCGCTCGTGCGAAAACTCCAAAGCTCCGCGGTGCCCCCCGAGGAACGCGCCCCGCCGCGCATCGAAACTTCCGATGGAACTGGACGTCTCCAAGAGTGCGCGGGTGGCGACCACTGCGCGGCAACCAGGGCGCTGGTCGGCAGCTGTTGCGGCTTGGGACGGCTGTGGCTGTGGCGCAGCTGTTGCACCTGATATCCAAGGAGCTGTTGCGGCTGCTGCGGCTTGAAACGCCTGTGCGGGGAGACCCTGGCGCGCGCCGTCCGCTCGAACCCGCTCTTGCCGCGCCGCTTCTGCTGCCTGCCGCCCCTCGCTCTGCGCGTGGCGCACGAGGTTCTCGCGACGTCGGAAACTCCCGCCACCCTGGCCCACGGTGGATTCGCAACGAGAGCACTTGAACGCCGAGCACAACAAGCATACTGCAAATTGGCCACCTGCGCAGCCCATTCAAGTTTCAGGCTTCAGGGTTACTGGATTCGTCGCAGACAGGGTGGCGCTCCAAGACACCTTGTTGGTTGTCCAAAATTTGCACGCGCCGCAAGTCATGACGTGCTTTGGGCAGTCGTGGCTGTTGACGTGCCCCTCCAGGGCCATGGGCGCAGGTTCGAACTTCTCGACTGCTTTGCTCGGGGCGGCCTTAGCCTTGGCCTGCGAAGTTTCAACTGCGGGCGCCTCGCTGCTGGCGCTGCCATTCGCCTTCCACGAAAATCCGCCGACCCTGTCGGCGTGCGTGAGAGGCTTCTCCGTTCGACTCGTCGTCTTCGTCGTCTCCGTTCCCCCCCTCCCAGGGCTCTCCTCCTCAAGCGCGCTATCCAAAGCGAAATTCAACGACGTCGTAGCGGAGTCGGAGGGACGCCCCTTCCCTTCTATCCCTTCCCCGCAGGGGGGGGGGGGGGGGGCGGGGCAGATACGACGCCCCGCCGGGGCGCACCCCTCCTCGAGCGGGCACGCACGGGATGCACTTCCTCCTCCTCCTGGTCCTTCTCGTCCTCCTCCTCTTATCCTCCTCCTCCTCCTCCTGCTCCTCTCCTCCTCCTCCTTCCTCCTCCCCCCTCCTCCTCCTCCTCCTCCTCCTCCCCCCTCCTCCTCCCCCCCCCCCCCCCCCTCCTCCCGCAGAGACGCCCCAGGAGCGGGCCCCGAGTCAGAACACCACCCCCCTAGGGCGCATTCTCCTCGAGCGGGCACGCCCGAGACGCACTTCTCCCTCTGATGGGAGCGCGCCCCAAGTCAGAATATCACACTCCCGGGGCGCACTTTCTTCGAGCGGGCACACAAAGGATGCACTTCTCCCTCCTCCTCCTCCTCCTCCTCCTCCTCCTCCTCCTCCTCCTCCTCTTCCTCCTCCTCTTCCTCCTCCTCCTCCTCACAGACCTCAAAAACCAAGGCGCGCCGAGTCAATCCAGGATCAACTGGCGCAGGAAGAAGGTCAGTCAGAATCATCCGACTGACTGCGGGCACCAACAGGCGGGAGACAGGGGGGCCTCGCCCTCCTCGCTGAGCAAGCCCGCGCTGATCTGAAGGCTGCCCTCGAGCGAGCTGCCGGCAGCCGAGCCTGGGCCCCCCCGGGGCGGCGAAGGAGGAAGGGGAGGGGCGGGGGGGGGGGGGGCAGGGAGGAAAGGGGAAAGGACTGCCCCAGGGTATAATTGGCCCCAGGAAGACGACCCCTCAACAGTTTGGCCCTCTCGGAGCTCTTTTGAAGGGGTCCACACTGAAACAGAAGCTCGTTCGCTTTGACACTGGCGAAGTGGCCACACGCGACACAAAGAAAAACAGGAACACCAGTCTCTGCAACCCGAGCCCAATGGAGCTCACGGCGGGGCCCGGCACACACCCCCCCCCCCCCCCCCGGAGCCCCAACAGGGTAGGATTGGGCTCCGAGCAGGTACTAGTCGCATCGGCATTCACCATCCTCAAGCATCTCTGACACCGCAGCCCCGAGCCACGCGGCACAGGGTCATGAGGAGATTTTGGCTTGGGTGCTTTGAGCTGGGATGGGCGCTTGATATTCTTATACTGTTGCTCAAAAGGGGGCCAGACAAGTAAAACCGAAATCAAGCCTATGGCGAGCGACGTATGCTCATCTTCGCCCTGCTTGAAACTATCAAGTTCACCTGGGCTGAGGTCATGTGCCTGAGATCCCTTCTTAGCCTAGGAGTCAGCAGCAATCGATCCAGCAATCACTACCCTGTCAGCATCATCCACAGCAGAGCTCATACTCCGATGCGCATTGATCTGATTGAGACGAGGCCAGCCTTGCTCAGGACTCGCAGTTATCTTTCGAGCCATCTCGCGCCAAAAGGAACTCAGACGGCTGGCCCCATCTAAGGCCTTGCTGGGATTTCTTGTTCCCGCAAACAGACTAGCACAGTCCACATTAACAGGCTCACAAGGCTCAGGCGTGGTGTCACGGCGAAGGACACTGAGGGCAAGTGCAGCATGCTCAGCATCCGCCGCATACCGCGTGAACTCGCTGGGAAGCGCAGCCCATACACCACGCCTGCAGATCTCGCCTTCCATGTGAACAACAGACACCCCCGAGCAACCTCCACCTTATCTCCATGGAAGGCGGATCCATCTGTAAATAACTTATCAGACGGCTGGAAGAAGAAAGGAGGGCATGAATCACCATTCGCATCAAAGAAATGAAGTATCCCGTCCTCCACGGGACTGGGCAGGTCGGGCCACGGGACCCACAGTTTTGAAAGCAGCGAATTTCCCGGCCCTGCAGCCATGGCCTGGTCGACCACCCCTTGACTGAAATGCTCCTGCCGAGCACGCACAGCCTCAGGGTTGCTGCAGGTCCAGAAACGGTGCCAGCTCGTATCTACACGGCCGCACCTGCACTTGTCCGAAACTTCATACCCCCACTGTTTCAAGGAGGCCCCAGTCGGAACAGTGCCAGACAAAACTTGGCAATAAACGCGCAGCTGCTGAGGAGTTAAAGACTTGGCAAACCTCTGGATGAGGGGGAGCCACAAGCCCCTGGTTGTGATATCACGGTCTCCAGGGCAGTCCGACAGATGTTTGTGGACAAATCGCTTTAGCAGCTCCTTCCTCAAATCATTAGTAAAAGCATCAGCAATGTGTGACGGTGGCCTTTCCGTCAAGATCCATTTGAATCCTGACTGGCTTACAAACGTAGCAGGCCCTTCCCAGCGCCATCCACCGACTTCCAGACAAAGAAGGAGGGCCGAGATGGGCCCACGGGTCCGATACAACCACGGCTTCCGCTCGGTAGTCCTAAAGACGGCGACTGCGCTATTGAAACTTTTACTTAATTCACCTGGGGTCAGGGCGCCACGATGCCGGGCGCGGCCATGCTGAGAAGGTGCACTGGCATGCCACCATTCC